CATGCCCCGCCGATGATTCACAGACTGAATCAGTGGGCCGGGTCTGGCCCGGTTCCCCTCATAACGTCACGCTTCTAGAAGAGGGCATCCTCTCATTTGTGTCTCTTGATTTTTGACCCCAAAAAAGGCAGTTTTTCGAAATGTCTGGCCAGAGGTGCCGGCATGTCAAGCGGAAAGGAGATTCAATGCAAGGTAGAGAGCTATAAACACTATTCGTGCCGTGGAGGGGGGGGGGCTGCTGACTGAAAGCCTGTAGCGGTCGGAGTGCCCCCCGCTCCATCAATCCTGGTCACTTCAGCAGAGAACACAGCAGGTTCCAACTAATGTGGCCGTCACAAGAAGAGGTCTCATGAAGTGGGAGCGACTTTGAACACCGGCTCAAACTAAAGCCGGCTGGTGCTCCTTTGTCGTAACGGGATAAGAATCGCCGTGTTGCTTATTTGTTGTTGTTCTGTGTGGGACAGAAGCTCAACCTCCTCACAGGCGAACACTTAAGAGTGAGCTGTCTGAACACTTTGTCCCCGGCTCGGGAAGGGACCTCGGCGTGGAAACTTTGAGCACAGCTGGAAGCAAAAAAGCTACTCATAGAAACCATGTTTACTTTTTTTTCCCTTGACATCACTGTAACACACACACACACACACAAGCAGAAGTGCATACACACTATACCAAGACCTGCCATTCACCCACAAACGCAGTGCTCACTCCCAAAAACAAAGCGAGACGGGCGACCACGGTGACTCATGGACTAGAAGCCTTTTTGGCTCTGGGGCCGTTAGTTAAAGCTGCAGCAAGCTGGAGAAAGCATCCTGGGTATTCTACCGAACCACCGCACTGACCTGAAGAAACACACAGGTGAGCATGTTACATATTCACCAGGCCGCAGTAAAGCGCTGTTAATACATGACCTATAAACCCTACCTATGGCTGACTCACAACAGCCAGTGTGAGCACATTTATAGAATCTCAGAGGGAGAAAGCTGCTCCGAGACCGGGCCTATGCGCATTTATTAAACATTACAGTCATCCAGCAGAACCTCAGCTGAGCCTCCTGGATCAGCAGTTCTACTCGGAGTTTGTGAACTTGGTAAAAACCTGAAGGCCGGAGACGAGCGTTAGGGAGTAGTTAAGAGATAAAACTCCCACGTATGTTCACTTTACAAAAATCAAAATCCAGCTAAAAGCCTGATAATGGTAGATGGACTATACTTGGTTAGCGCCTCCCTCGTCCTTCACATCAAAGAGCTTTAACACTACATGTCATTCACCCATTCATAGACCATGCAGGGAACTACCATTAATGAAACCGTCACACACCGTAGGCACTGCTAGGGGAGCAATAGGGGGGTTAAGTTTCTCGCCCAGGGACACAATTCGACACAGACTAGCGGGGCCGTGAGGTCGAAACCGATGCTTCTCCGCTCTACCGCTCAGCCACGGTCGTCCTGCTACGGTGACCAAGCAGAAGATTTAACCGCAAACTCCCCAAGAGGAACAGCTCTCCCCGTGTCACACCACACACACGGCTTCCTGTCAAGTCAAACAGGTCAGGTTGTCTCTGTGTCAACCAATCAGCACGCAGGACATGAGAACAGAGCGCATTTCCTCCAATGCTGCTGACTCACAGGAGCAAATAGCTGAAGAAGATGTCAATAGTAAAGCGATGTGTCGGCGGCGCGTGGCCTCAGCTCGCCTGTTTGCACCACCAGCGCGGTCACATCGGATTTAACATCCGTGCAAGTGCATGGCGGACTTTTTTTAAACGCATGAATTACTGCTGACAAGCGCGGCAGGCCGCCGCCTCCTCTACTCCTGAAACAGTGAGGAGGATCACCAGAAGCGATCAGAAAGAGACGCATTTGTTATCAAACAAACATGGCGACCGGTTTCAAGATTCACCTTTCACATTTAGGCATCAAAGAAACAACACAAACAACGGAAAGGGATGCATGAATCAGAGCCAGTTCATTTGCTGCCCCAGTGAACTCCAGAAGGGATCCAGGAGAATTAAACTCCATAAGGATTCTTTTTCTATCCCACAAGTGGTCCGACGGCATAAAGAGAAAGTTCAAATCGGGTTTTAACTGGCCTTAGCGTGGCCTAACGGGGATAACGAAAGCGCTAGCTATTATTATTATGATGATGCCGGTATCATAATTACCATCTCTTTCTAGGTAAACACACATTACAAAGCATGCAGACACTTTTTACAGTTAAGCCCTATGATGCAAACCGGTCTGTGCGCGTTTGCTGCTATGAAAGCACATAGTGGACGCGACAGGATTGTTCCCTACTTTGATAATTAAGATTAATAATAACAACGTGTGGTCCCACGTTGCTTAATGATCAGGATCCTTATAGTCGTGGTCACAGGAGCAGCAAAGGTTAAGCAAATAACCTCCATTTGCCATAAAAGGTTCCTTTAAGTTGTATTTATGGGGCAACAGAAAACATTTCAACGGGCTATGCGAGTGTATACGAGGCGAGAAAAGCCCAGCGGCGAGGAATGGTGTCAATATGCGTGTTCACTGAGTGAGTACAGTCTGTCACTCACACTTCTCTCCCAATCAACATCTAGGAATCACTGTGGAGGGGGTTGGAAGGTGGGGGGCTTTAAAAGCAGCACGGGTCGCCTCTGACAGTCAAACACGCTTCTGACACCTAAAGATGCATCACACGTACCACTGGATGTGTGTGGCTTTCAAACACCAACACAGGGACAGACGCTGGGGGAGTAAGACACACACACACACACACACAATTAAATCAAAGGCAGAGAAAACAGAGACGTTCAGGGGGGTGATGGCGTGGAAAAGATTTGAAAGAGAGTGAATGAAACACTGCGTGAATGAGAAACAGACGAGTCAGAAAGACAGAAAAATACAAAAAATACTATATTATACTAATAATGAAGAATCAAGATCACGCAGACAGTGAAAAGTTAATAATACAGCTTTTCATCACAACAACACCGTCGGTAAATGGCTTCACAGTGGTGTGTGTGTGTGTGTGTGTGTGTGTGTGTGTCGGTAGCACTGTTTGTCCAGCAGCAGGAGTGAAGAGAGGACGGAGTGGAAGAGGAACTTCCTGCTGCGTGAACAGACATGCAATCGCTACACAGCCTGTCAGACCAGGCCAAAACACACAGAGAAACACTCACACACTCACACACAAAACGTGCTCTTCACTTCCCTCTGGGTCCGGCGAGCGGACCATTAAACGAGAATAAAGCGAATGCAGAGAGATTCCTGCGACCGCTGCGTCTTTAGAGTCTCTGCATTTCACTTCGGGAGGGGAAAAGGGAAAAGCGTCTGAAGCGGTAACCGGAGTCCCCATGATGCAAAGCGGCTCGTACTGACGTCAGCAATCATCCACCCAAACTGGTCTTGTGAGCATGAATGTTAATGGAGCTGGAGCGTCGTTTCGGGAATTCTCCCCACGTACCCGTCCTCCCCGTGTCGAGCCGAGGACGGCCGCCGAATGCCAAAATATGCAAACAGAATAAGCCAACGACAGGAGGGAGGGAGGGGACAACGACAGGGCTTCCACGCATACTTTAAACCTACCGGAAGCCGCAATGGCTTAAATTGCATTAGCCGTGTGGTTCAATTAGATTAGCAAACAGAGCACTGCCTCTGGGAGTTTCAAAAGATGCAGGAGAATCTGCTCTCTGCAAAAAGAATAGTTTTGCGGTGTGTAACACAAGCTTGGAAATCACCTTTCAAGGTGTGACGCTGAACTATGAACTAGAATGAGATTACATCGAGTTTGCTAAAAAAAACAAATAAAAAAAAACAGGATTCTATGCTCATGGAGGCAGATGTTTATGTAAGCTTGCCGTGTAAGCTCTCTACACGGCGAGCAATTTGTTCCGTGGTGTACTTTAATTTTAGTGCCAGGAATGATTCAGCAGCCATAGAAGACGCCTTTTTTTTCCCAACAAAAGAGAAGGCCGAGAAGGCCGATTTCACGACGTGCATCCACACACAGATAATAAGCTCTTTATCTGGGGCCAAAGAGGGAGCTCAGGCAGGGATCATTCAACATGTCAGGGCTCTTGCCAGCCTTTAATGAGCGAGATTGCGAGGCCTCATCATTTAATAAACCCAGCATAGGACTTACGAGTCTGCAGGTTTATAGTCCCACTGGAAACAGAAACTGTAGGTGTCGTCCCCAGGGAAGAACAAGGACCCACAATGCCCGCAGGACTTGAACTTGTGACCTTTACTGTATCTATTGATTAGAAGAAACTGATTTGACTGCTTGATTTAAGGAGGAAAAAAAGCATTCTGAAAGGCACGGACAGCCCTTTGTTGCAATGTCTTGTGAGAAAACGCAGTGTAACAAAACCTTCCTCGGCCCAAAACGGGGTCCATGCAGGCAGGCGAGCCGACAGGAAGACAGAGAAAAAAGGGCCGCGGAGCCTCAGAGAATGGAAAATTACCGCGGCTGTACAGTCAGCTGGGCAACATTGATCAGCCGGAGCTCAGGCGCCAATTACTGTGGGATAATCGGCAGCCCCCGGAGGCCTGACGGGCTGCAGGCACAACGGGTCAGCGACCAGCCGGCGAGGGGCCGCTGAGCCAAAAGCCTCGCCGAGAGAGCGAGCGAACGGGCGGGCAGCACAGCGAGGCGATTGTTCCCGTCCTGCCGACTCAGCACAGTGGCGCTCTGACCAGCCAGACATCCCTCTCCACAGACCGCTTGGTGGTGGTGGTGGAGGAGGAGGAGGAGAGGGTGTGCAAACCTGCCACTGCACATGTCTCACAAGAATTTTTTTCCTCTAAGCAAACTCACTCGCTCGCTCAGCGATAGAAACATACGCAGGACAAATGTGCACACATGCAGATAAACACACACCCACACTTGTCCCTGCAATTTCTGTGGTAAACAAAAAGAGCTGCAGTGCTCAAAGCGGTGGTTGCCGCACAGTGATGCAACACACAGAAAACACACGTTCCCTCGCCGCCCCTCTTTTGTCCCTAAAAGTCCAAACTTACCTCACATTATCTTTGAGGAATGTGCACTGAATAAGTACAGTGACTATAAGTACGCGGTCTCTCCAACAACACACCCTTCCTCGCTACTTTGCTCTCACCGGCAGTCTGCCGTGTGATAAAAAGGCAAGCTGGCAACACTGATTAATAAACAAAAGCTCTCCACTTGAGGCAGAACATGATACTCGGCTCATTAATAATTGACATCTCTTCTTGTGCTGGGGGAACATTCATCATCGATTAGGCCACAATGCGGGCGGCACCCCGCTCCTCGCTCCTCCACTGGCAACACAGCGACCCGAGAGGAAAAAAATACAACGCGGACCCGCTACAGGAACTTCCCAAAAGCCGCGCCGACAAAATAACCGCTACTCGCATGTCGTACGGTGTTATCTAACAGAAACACAGTAGCCAGTGGACTTTGGATCAGGCACCCTGCAGTTACACAACAGGCGAAGCCGGTCCAAGGAGACCCGCACGGGGACAGCGTACAGCTTCCCGCTAAACCACCAGTCAGCAGAAGGTTTGGAGGAACCACAGATCTTACACTGTGGAGAGAGAGAGAGAGAGAGAGGGAGAGCTTGTTTATGAGGCTCTTTTGATTAAAGATGGATATCCATCCCCCCCCGACCTTGTCCTGATAACAAAGCCGTATTTCCTTTGACGCAATATTAAATTAAATAGACAAAACCTTTTACTTTTTCTCGTCCAAGCCAAACATCTCAAATGCAGTATTGTAAAACGCTGTTGTAACACTATTAACTGCATAAGAACATGGCCAAAAAGATCCAAATACTCCACTTGATCTACAGACACAGCACACCCAAAGTATCGAGACGGAAACTTCTGATTCTGAGTCCCAGAGTGAGGCTTCATAATGCGTTTTTAATATCGGATTAATATCACTGCATAAAAGGGAACAACTCTTGAGTATAGTTTCCTGAAGGCACGGACAAAGAAAAAAACAAACCAAAATAATTATCATAGATTCTGATGCGCATTCTGCCTGTTGGTTATGTGGAAAGGCGGACTTGTCTGCGTGCTTTCGTACACGGCGTGTGTGTGTGCTTCTGTTAACGTACGCGCATCAGAACCTTCAGGTTCACATTGTGAGCGGGGACATTCTTTGGCCTTATCTTTCTGTCATGGGGAACACACTCAGAACAATTTGACGGGTTGCATTGTTCCTGGCGCCGCGCCACTGAGCAACCGCCGCGGTAGTTACCAAGGAAGCGGAGCCCCGGCGACGTCGAGCGCGTCCAGGAAGAGGCCAAACGCAGAGCCTGTTCTCAGCCGCGTGTATGGAAATCGTGCACGGTGTGGTTGAGGGAGCGCCGGACAGAGAGTCATAGACACACATGGGTTATCACACCAACAACACACTGGGAGGTTCGGTGTGTGACATGCACCGACATGGTCCCGCAGAGCCAAAACACAACAAATCACATGTTGGGGCCCCCGTTTCTTAGACATATTATAAGATGCATGTAAACATGACTATTTTTAAGTAATGAATGATTTTTTTGATAGTGTGTTCCTCTGGTGAGTCCTTCCACGTCTAACACTCTGGTTGGGTCCGGTGGCCAGGACATTCCCGCCGTGTGAGACACACACACACACACACTCCCCCCCAGTCTCTTTGTCCTGGGTCACTCGTAATTAAAGCAGAGATCACAGAGAGGAATAAAGCATGAGCTGTCCCTGCACAGGAGGCTCAGGTATCACTATGTGGGGGCCGTGAGAAACAAAAGGAGTCTCTGAGCCCCGCACCCCTCCCAAGGACGAGAGATACCGATGCAAACCCGAGGGGCCACTCCCCGTCCACACGGCCCTGAACCGCCCCGCCCCTCCTTCAAACAGCGCGCAAGGCCCCTCAGACCCAATTAAGAGCTTCAGATACTGTCCTGAATGGGAACAGCGTTGAAAGCTGTGACACATCATGCTACACCCACCGTTTGTTTCTCTCTTCAATAAGTGCTGACAGAGCCGAATGCTGCTACTAAGAAAGCCTGCTGATACAAAGACTGCATGGTTTGTAGAAAAAACGAGATGTGATGCACTGCGGTGATGGAGTGGCCGCTGATTTCATCACAGCGTGATTTCAAAAACATTAACACAGGTTGCTTGCACAATGTTTCGTGCGGCTTTTGAAACAGACACTCCATTATGTGACGAGGTCCCGACCTGCAGCCAGAACGTCCTCTTTGGTCCACGCTAACACCGACAAACACATCAAACCCACAAGTTCAATCCAACTCTGCGGTTCCACAGAAACTATTTTAGGCAACTCATGTTAAAATGGGGTCAGCTGCACATTTGAGATCCTGATTCTTAACCCCCCCCCTGGTTGAATCTTCTCTGAGTGTCTGTTGGATCTGGTTCCAATCAGCTCACAACACGGAGCTCTAACCAGTGCGGCCCGTCCGGGTTTCTTTCTAACGGGGCAGCCGCTCCTGCACAAAACAGGATGTTACCGATGCTCACTTGAGACACTTGTCCTCTCAAGGGACCATTTTACGGGTCCGTCTTACGTCCATTTAAGTCAGTATTCGGCCTGCGGGTGAAAGCCTCCAGGGCGCAAGCAGCACCGCTACCGAGCAGTGTTTTGGGAACGCATCATCCCAAAAGGCGGGAGGGTTTGCCAGAGTGTCAAAACAAAGCCAAATGCAGTTGCTGAAACGTGTCTGCTTTCTTTGTCGTAATCTCTGACATTCATCAAAAACAAAACGCATCTGGATTACGTTCTCACTTGTGACGAACGACAACACGACCAACTCGGACCACAACCGGATTTTCAGGCACACCGTAGCGCCTGACTTCACGTGTCCGTATTCTCCCCTTCCTGCCCAAAAGCCAAAACATTTCAGCATTTGATTAAAATCACTCCAAATATGCTCGGCGTGCCCACACTGAGCTGTGATGATGTGACACAGAAAAGTCAACACATGTAGTGGATGACAACACAAGCCGGCAATTTTGAAGGCCTGCATCACAAGTGCAGCCCAAAACAATGAGGTGACTGAGAACATGTACTCTAGTACTGTGCTGGAGAATGATATTGAGGTACTTGTACATCACTTGATTTTCAGATAACAATTTCCAAGTCCAGTGAAAATCATCTCCCAATTAAAGTGAATTTTTATGATAAATGGAGAAAAGTCTCCTTCAGTTAATGAAATACTTTTGAAAAACTCTTTTTCACAGTGTAGTATTGATAAATAAAGGATCTGAACACTTCTTCCACCATTGGCCAAAAGCAAGGAGTGAGATGACAGATAAACGGGAGAGGTGACACCGATGAATCGTTTCGCTGCGGACCGTTTCATGTGGTAGAAGAAGAAAAGAAACACAAAGGCGTACCGCGCTGCGTTGTCGTCTCATATCTATTCTGTTCCTGACTGAAAGCTACGCAGACATCGACACCCGCTCTGCTTCCACTATGAGCAGCAGGAAGCTCGACTATCTTACGGCCCTTTGAATGCGTCGTCATCGCACAGCAAGTTTATGTGCCCATGTTGCATCACTACTCGGCATTCACACGTACTCCTCCCTGCCAAGTAAAAGGCCTCTCCTTTGAGCGCCGAGCGGAACACGGGTTTCTCCCACGGAGTGAATCACCCGGCTCGGGACAGAGACTCGCTCTCTCGCATTCTCCTCCTCTCTCAAACCTGCTGACGGGACTTGCACAGTGGGCCCGACCGCAGAGAGACAATCTTGCCTCCCTCGTTCGGGGAGATGAGTTGAGCCGCGAGTTGCTTACAGAATTTGTGGTGGGACTAGGTCACAGCTTTCAGAACATTATTTCCAAATTGTTCAGACTGCCTTGTATGAAATAACAGCTAATGAGTAAGTATAGTGTCATTTCATCAATTAGGAGTGGATTAACTGTATGAGACAATTTTAATAAGCGATTTATTGTGAGCTACAATGCCCAACAGATGTGGGGGTTTCGATACCCACAAGGGTGGATTTGAAGAAATGAAACACATGCAGGTTTTAGTGGGACATAGCAGACATTAGGAGTACCGCATATAGTGCTGCACTTTCCACCAAGTCTTGGAATACGGACCAGGCACAGCAATTACATAATATAATCGTTGATTAATAAAACAATTAAATAATCATGACTTGCAGCCCCATTTAAAAAACAAGAGCCATCAGTTCAATGAATATTTAACAATCCGCCCCCTTCACAATGGAAGATACATAACCAGTGGCCTCCGCCAATGTTTTACCGTATGCTGCTGTTTATATAATTAAAGTCACAAACATCATCACCACCCAATTAACAAATCAGGGATGACCTGAATAACTCCGGCTATATGAGAGCACGCAAATGTGGTTACTGTGCAATAAGCAGGGTGCGTCAGTCAGGTTGCACTGCTGTGGCCGGGACACAGTTCATGAGGGGCTTGAAGGGGGGGGGGGGGGTAAAGTCTGAATGAGGAAGGTAATCTGACCACCGATGTTTATCTGACACTCAGAATGGAAGTCTCAATCTCTTGGGATGTGGCCGTGAAGTACGGCAAGCCTTGATACCATCCAGGAGATTGTGGAGCACATCACACATCACACTTCACGAGCATTCTTAAGAGTTATGTCTATGAGTCAGTGTTATACCTTCAGGGAAATCAACCTGTCTCATCGCTGAGTTTTTTTTTTAAACCATATGCTTCCATTGTAGCTACGTTGTTTACAAACGTACTGAGTCACTGAACTAAATTACCAATAAAGTTACGCCTTTACTTCCATCATGAATTAGTAACACTGGTATTACAAAAGTGATCCGTGTGACGACGTGAACACGGCACGACGAATGACGTGCTACCTGCCCTTTTTCCATCATTTGAGCCTCGAGTCGGGTTCGTTATTTTGCTGAGTAACGTCCACCTCTTTAAAGTTAAGCAGGTAAGTATCATCAACGTTAGCTCCTGCGCGTGCACTGACGTTAACGTTAGCTAGCCGAATAACCTCTTAGCTGCTTCTTTAGCGCAGAGGAAGACCTTCTCCGACACCTTAGAAGGATGGGAGAGAACCTCAAGGTTTACATTTAGCTCTTCCTGGTCTCTAGTCAGTTACCAGAGGAGCTAAAACAGCCCCGTAACCGGGTCTGCGGTGAGTTTAGAGCCGCGGAGCTAACGTAGCTGCGTGTGCCGCATCCGAAAAAAAAAATACAGACACACACAAGCTAGTGCTCCTTAGCATTGGCGAGCTAACAAGCATTACCGGGCAGGCTAATTAAAAAAAAACACACACACACGTCGTCAGACATACCTGTGACCACCGCTGCGACCCAGAAGATGCCCCCCTTGATGTCGTCACCTGTGTACCGCGGACCGCGCAGTGCCGAAAATAATTCAAATTCCACAGAAAGCGTCGGTGGAGACTCTCGCAGCCCAATCGCTTCAGCCACCGCCGCTGAATGGCTGCTACGCGGAGGCGCAACCGAACCTCCTCCTTAGCAACGGGCCGCCTCTGCGCGGATTGATCGGCGGGCGACGCACAGCAACCTGTGGGTCAGCCGGAACTTCGTTGCGCTGTGGTTTCATATCTGTGGATGTATCGGTGAAGTGAAGTGACTCAGATGATTGTGACCTGATGGTAGAGTCCGGACAAACAACACTCGTCATGCTTCTTCTCATCGGCGGTCCTATCTTGAAATGGGAACAATTTCTCTGAAGTCCGTTAGGTTTCATTCATTTAGGTACATCCCGGGGTACTTTTACCTTACTTCAGCTTTCTTTATACTTGATACCACTTCTTTTTGGAAGCTGATATTGTACTATTTACTCCCCTGCGTTTGAGTTATAATGTATCATACATATTAACCACTATATCTTTGCATATTCAGGTTGTTAATACAACATTTGTATTATCTACTACATCCTAATATATTATAGAGTTCGACATAGACCCAGCGGAACAGAAACCTGTACTTTTGCAATGGCTGCTTTCATAGCAACATATTCTGGAGCTAATGCTTGTGTACTTCTGCTTGTAACAATAGCATTTCTAGGGTGCAATAAAATTACTTTTATTTGAAAAAAGATCTCAGTATTACTTCAACCATTGATGCTCTCAAAAATAACTTTTAATTATAAGATGTCCGGATGAGACGCTGTCCGTCTCCATCAACATTTTAAAGTACATAGATAATGTAATACCCTGCAATGAGAGTACACAGCAGTGGTACAAGTATTCACATGTATTATTACATCTTAACAATGCATTACATTTCATGTTAAAGTCTGTGTATGTGAAATGTACCCGTTAATATCTAGTTTCCTGCACATGTCACCTGACCGATTCTTCCTTGTATTCTCTATCTGGCTGATATGCAAACAGTCCAGTCGGTGGAAGCCAGATGGTTTAAAGGACCATTTGGATAAAACCACAGGAGTTCACGCGAGTTTACCAAAAGCTCCTTCACTTATTGTCCCTCACACCACTGTTCACATTCATTGTCCCTTTGTCTTTTCTCAGGTTTCTGCCATGTTTGCTCCCCCCCCACCCCCTATGATGAAACCTCGGCCCCTTTTAAAAGGCCAGAAGTTTATCAGCATTACTTGCATTCCGCGCATAGTTACGAGGCCTGCTGAGCTGCAGCCGCGCTTTGTGGCCCGAAGGTTACAAAACCAACGAGGTGGAAAAAAAGCCAGAGTCGTCAAGCCTGTTAAGCTGATGCTTGCCATGCCATTGTATTTATTTGCAGCTGTGAGTATCTCTCTCTCACTCTCTCTCTCTGAAACACACACACACACACACACACACACACACACACACACACACACACACACACACACACACACACACACACACACACACACACACACACTGTTGTCTCTATGGTGTTCGTCACTATCTTAAATCTAATCTCCCGCATGATTCACCAACCTGAGGAGGTCACAGTCATAAAGTGTTGCTGCAGCGCCTGATGCATCTGTGAGGATATTCCGCCCCCCTGTGGCCGCAGTGTGTAAATGCAGCTAAAGAAATCCGGCGCACACACTCAGGTTCATTTATCGTTTGCTCCTCATTTGATAAATCTGTTTTCGTGGCATGTTTGGAAGAAGTATTCACTTCAGTATGAATAGAACAGGGGGAACGTACAAGTAGGGTTAGGGTCTTTTTGCTTGAGTAAAAGTTTAAGTTTTAGTGGCAAAATGTGACTTCCAAAAATATTGTAAAATAATATTATGCATATTATGAATATTATATAACTCTAATTATTTCATTGTGGAGCTGATTTTATTTTAACTAATTCATGTACTGCTGCTGTGTAGCTTAACCTATAATGACATTCATTTCATATTCTCATTATTATTACTCATTATATTTCATAATACTACTGACAGTACCAACATTTAAAGCACATTAAAATATTCAGAATGTGAAGAATATTACATATTTTGAATAATTGTTGGATAAATGGATGGGATGAAATATGTTGGCGTTAATCATATTCGTAATGAATTACAGGACATTCTGACTGTAAACAAATGTCTCTGTGTTTCATGCTCAGACGACGTTGTGTTTTAATCAAAGACCACACTAATTCTTTTCTTACCACATTTTATTTTTCAAACAACATATAGAGCACTTGACACAAAAAAAAAACTTATCTGCTTCAAATATTTACAATTAACATTGTAGAGAGACAGAAAAGAAAAAAAGAAACATTCTTTGGGTCTGACCATGCAAAACAATAAATAATGTTCCTCACAGTGCTTTGCATGGAGCGCTCTGAAACAAAGCTCTCAGACTTACTTGGCTACACAAAAAGCTGCCCTGGTCCACGCGGCCTCCAGAGGAACGCTCTCCCTCCTCACTACTCCACGAAATACAAGCAGACTGCTGACCGGGACGGAAAGGAAAGGAAAACGCGTGATAAGCGACAGTTTCCAGTGAGAAGCTTTAACGTAACCAGGACCCTTCGCGTCGCACCCGAACGGTACGGGCGCCACGCTCCCTCCTCCCCCCTTCACTCCCCCGCCAGCCGCGGCTCAGGTGATTATTTGCGGCTCCCAGGACTGGCTGGCCATCTGGGGGCGACACTGCGTGACGACCAGAGGGCCCGTCGGGGTCTGGCTGTCCAGACAGAGGCCGCTGACCACGTGCTGCAGCGCCGTGCCTTTAGGCTTCCACTTCTGCACACACACAAAGAGAGAGAGAGAGAGACAGTCAGACGTCCTCCTGTGGCGGCTCCTGTTAGCGGTGATCAATGGACGGGGCGTCACTTGTTGGTTACTATTGATTCCACCCCATCTAGTTTTATTACAATCAAAGAATTAAAGCCGTGTGCGTAGGACGGATCTCACCCCACTGAATACCCCCTCGGCTCGGGTGTAACACCGTGGCAACGGCTCGGTGCTTTTGTCATAAAGCTGCGATCCTTTTCAACACACAGTCACTTTGTGCAAAGGCTCTGCTTCCCTGACCCGCATACTGTAAACATGAGCTACGGTGAGTTTGTTAACGGTGATGTAATGACGTAAAAATACGTGCCTCCTTTAATTCTAAGTATTTTATTACATGTCTGCTTATTGGATCAGCTTTTAAAAACAGGATTTGGCACAATCGCCCCAATGAAAGGCCAAACTCATTGTTTCAATAAAACATTGTTAGTGGGAATATAAATAATGTTCATGGTGATGGATGGCGCGACGGGAAAACTTCTAAAGCGGATTTACAGCCCGCCGACGCACAACCTCCCCCTACTTTGAGTCCTCAGTCGTACGTGTTCCCTTTCTCAGAGAGGTCACGGCCATCACTTGTTACTTTTCCCTTCAAAGAGCATTTCTTTTTCCCTTTCTGGGGGATTAACCACTCAGCACAAAGAGGCCCAATGTCTCCCACAGCATGAACTGGGCTCCCGCTCTCCGGAGGCCCCTCGCGCACACATGGTTCCACTTGTTAGCTCCCTCTGCCATGTCAGAACTCCACCCTGGAGCCAGTTCACACGAGGTGACGTGCACGCTCGACCTGGGTGGGGTGTGGGGGTCTGTCGAGGACATCGAGGAGAAACGAAACCGCTCGACGACTCGGAAAACGAGATGACGGGAGTCCTCTCTCTGTTGAGGCCAACACAATAATTCCACCTAAACTCCACTTCATTTCATTACCTGTCTGGGCTCTTTTGCGCTGCAGGTGTCCATCTTGACCTTTGACCCCGCCGTGAAGGCCGAAATGGCCAGGCAGAGGTCCTGCTGCCGGAGCAGTGGTTCGATTAGTTCCCATCTCTGCAAAATAGAGGAAAACAAAGACAGACAATAAAGAGGACGCCGGGGCGGCAGGTTCTCGCCTCCATGGAAACGCACGTACTCCCTTTAACATTCTACTCTAGTTTCTGGCTAAATTCACCGCCGACACTGAAGGAAATGTGAATATTGGACCTGCGCCTGCGGCCTGATGGATCCGATGCCTCTGCACTCCGCCAGCCCGAGGGCGTCCGTCCCCCGCGTCTCCAGGCACAGGCCGCCTTGTCTCAGCACACTGGACACCGCCTCCTGCTCGGGGACCCTGAGGGCGAGAGAGGCAGAGAGAGAGAGAGAGAGAGAGAGAGAGGGAGGGAGAGGGAGAGGGAGAGGGAGGTCTCATTACGGCAGCAAACAGCAGATGGGTCGAATCGACGTGTTTCTCCGGGGAGGAACTGAGTCGTGAGCCGTTTCAACACTTTTACAATTTACAACAATCAGTTCGGGAGGCCGACATGGAGCCGCTACAGTTAACGTGGGAATAAGAAACAAGCTGGTGGGATCAGCAGTAATTCCCCGCTCAGATGTTCCCGTTCAAATCGGATGGATCGGCTTTGTTGGTTTTGAACATGTGGTCATTACAACTCCAACGATTCTCATATTCCGCTTTAGAAGACAAAAAATGTCGACTCCATTTATCATTGTTTCCACGAACCAAGACAAAAGTATTTTCTATTTGTTGGTTTTCAGGTGTTCAGGTGCATGAGAGCTGTCCCTAAAGGTCCATACCGTCATTAGTTATATTTAAA